TCCGCCTAATTACTGTTTTTATTACTTTATATAGGTCTCAGATGTCTCTGAAGTGGTTTGTCTCCAAAACACCAAACAGATCATTGCAGCATTACATAATCCCTCTGTTTCAGCCTGTTTCCAAAGTGGCTGATTCTCTTTCTGTTACTCTTACGATGAAACCTCAAGGAGCCCCTCCCACGCCTTTCTGAGAGAGATTGGTTACAAAAGAAGCGTCAATGGTGAATCTAGGAGGAGATTCAGGTGATAAGGGTGGCGGGGGGGGTTACCTTGGCTCTGATTGGCCTAATGGTTACCAAGAACACACCACAATCCGTTATGAACCATCAATAAAGTGGCCAAATCACTGATCAGACCTCATTTTCAGACAGGTTTTTATAGAAATGGATCAAAAAGAGAGAGAATCTTTGTTCCTGAAACTTTCAGAGTCTCTTTCCAGCAGAGGGGACACATGTTGAATGTAGAAGAGACATGGAAGAAGATGGGGGGGGACACATGTTTACTGTAATCTTTGTTCCTGAAACTTTCAGAGTCTCTTTCCACAGAGGGGACACATGTTGATGTAGAAGAGACATGAAGAGGGGACACATGTTGATGTAGAAGAGACATGAAGAAGAGGGGACACATGTTGATGTAGAAGAGACATGAAGAAGAGGGGACACATGTTGATGTAGAAGAGACATGAAGAAGAGGGGACACATGTTGATGTAGAAGAGACATGAAGAAGAGGGGACACATGTTGATGTAGAAGAGACATGGAGAAGAGGGGACACATGTTGATGTAGAAGAGACATGAAGAAGAGGGGACACATGTTGATGTAGAAGAGACATGAAGAAGAGGGGACACATGTTGATGTAGGAGAGACATGAAGAAGAGGGGACACATGTTGATGTAGAAGAGACATGAAGAAGAGGGGACACATGTTGATGTAGAAGAGACATGAAGAAGAGGGGACACATGTTGATGTAGAAGAGACATGAAGAAGAGGGGACACATGTTGATGTAGAAGAGACATGAAGAAGAGGGGACACATGTTGATGTAGAGGAGACATGAAGAAGTGGACTTTCCATCATAGGTGACCTTTTAAATGTGTGCAAACATAAGGGGACACGGCCGCTCTCGCCCTCTGGACATCTCTTGTCAGGGATCCTCCTCGTGCTCTGGAGCAGGAAATATGTTTCCAATCAGAGCGGGCCTTAGTCTGGATCGAGCCGTCGCACAGAGCGGCCATTGTTGCACGCTCAGCTGGTTTTATTAGATTGAGCTGTGAAGGGGATTTGGGTCAACGATTGAGACCTTTTGCAAGACCCAGAGAAGGGGGAACTGAAGCGTGATATTACCATGGAAGCTCCTCTCTTGCAGCTTTGAAGTTATTACTAGGACAGAAAATGTAAGTTGACACGACATTATGAATATTCCCAAGGTCACCCTACAGTAAAACGTGATGGATTGATCTCCCTCAGATTTTGACGATGGACGAAGTCACCCAGATCGGGAAGATCAGTAAGCAGTGGACAGGACTTCTTCGGGAAGTCTTCACAGATTCAGACAACTTTGGTATCCAGTTCCCCATGGACCTGGACGTGAAGATGAAGGCTACTATGATCGGAGCGTGTTTTCTCATCGTGAGTAAAGTCTTTGCTGTTGGTCAACGTCAAAACAGCAAGTTTTAGATTCTCTCACAGCAAAACAAGAGTTACAATTCTGAAATAACAGAGGCAGTCAACTCACATAACCCAACTTTTATGGGGTCTCATGTTCTCCCTGGTAGTCGGAAACTTCATGTACCTACCACTTAATGCACCACTTAGCCTACATTATGTGGGAAACGTGACCTGAAACCATCCCTATCACCACAAATGCAAAACAGCTTCTTTCTGTAGCAGCACACCACATTAGCTAAAGTGCTAAACTCTTAAGACGTTGAGTTGGCTGGGACATATCAGGGAATCATTTATACCCTTATATTTTAACATTCATTCTGTGTGACCATCATGCATCATGTCTTTGCCTTTAACACGTTCTTCTTGGTGTTTCTCCACACAGGACTTCATGTTCTTTGAATCGAACAACTAGGAGCCAAACAGGATATTCATGTAATCATTTCTGGAAAGCCATGATCAGAACAAAACGCCCGAACATAGAACAACCTCTGGACCAGATGTTTTAAGAAGGGACTACCGAAACGTACCTTAATGTTGCAGTTTTGCATGAACAATGATTTAGAAAGGTTTGTTTTAGTCTTGGCTGCTCAGGTTGTTTGTGACTAAGCTGTGAGTGCAAAGTGCAATGCTTCTAGACAAAGCTTTATTTGTGTGTACTACTTTCGCTTATGTAGGCCCCGAACTACGGTGGCCTACAGGTGCAAACACCAGGTCAAGAACATTTCCATTGCGAGAAACGAGCTGCAGCTTCAGACCGTAGAGAATATTGAGTTACTACTGAAGACACTTGAATATTAGGATACCGTCCTTATATCAGCAAAAGGGAACACCATGCAGGCAAGAGCTGTTACACAGGGAGTACTTTAGGAGTGCTTAGCCAAACAGCACTTGTGTAATTTGGTCAGATCAATAGTCAACATGTTAATATAATGCTCTTAGCTATATTGTGCAGTTTCTAGTGTAGATAAGCTTTTATTTATTTATTTATATATTTTGGTCATGTGTGTGTGCTCTGCTTTATACGATTGTATGTGTGCTGCTATGAGTGTGTGTAACTGAAGCATCATAAGCGTACTATAATATTTGTAATGCCATCACAGTTATGCATTATCATTACTGAACGGAGGGGTTGTGGCTGTGCGCCCCGTCTTGTCCACACGAGGGAGCTAGCTTTTCATTTTAGGAGAATCCCTGCTTATGCCATAAAGTTTTTATTGGGAAATTAGTTGTATTTTCTTTGGACACACTCAGGTTGGAATGCATGCGGCTGTGTATTGTGATTTTAGCTACTGCTGGCACCAGGGACACACACCTGCACCTCGTACTATGGATATAATGGAGTAATCTTTTGGGGGGATTTTGTTCATCAACTCATCAAATAAAGGGGTAAACATTTTTTTTTTTAATCAAACCATTACAGTAGTGGGAAGTAACAAAGCACTCAAGTACCAAACTTATTTGGATATAATTGGACTTAGAACTTCTACTCCACTACAGTTATTTAAAAATCACTTTTTACATATTAAAACGTGCGATTTGCATAAATAATAACACTAATAGCACCATTATATACAAATACAAACCGGTATTAGAATCATAAATTGGCTCCAGATTGACGTACTACAACATTAAAATGCCCTGACACGTATAATACAAAAATATAGGATAACAAATGTATTATTGTGAAAAGAGTTACTTCTGTACTTCTACTTAAGTAACATGTTGAATTTAAGACTTTCCCTTTAATGGAGGATCATATATATCTACTTTTAACTCTAGTGAATGATCTTGATATGATATAAACTATTTTCCAACATCACGGTCATTATATGATGTCAATTGTGTTTCAGGGAAATGAGAAAAAAACATACATTTGAAGTTATTTTCTAATGTTTTCTTTTTGAATGAAGTATAATACACTGCCATTTTGAAAAGCATGTCTTTCATAAATGTTCTTGTGTCATGTGTTTGATTATTGCCCCCCTTTATGAGCTAATTTTCAGTCATCACAACTTAAGTTTTGTATTAGAAATCACTTTATTCAAGTGAATTCAGATGAATTTCTTGCCACCAAGATGACCCTGATCATCTGTTGAAAGGGTTAATAGTACGAGGTGCTGGTGCTGCGTCCTCTGAAGGCTCTTTGTGTTTAAAAGCCAAAAACGGGAGTTCATCTATTCCCACTATGATATAGAAACATAACTTATTCTTCTACTTTTGCACTAACACTTTGAACTAATTTGTGTAATGTGATGAATGCAAACTCTGTGAGCTTAGCTTAAGTTGTGCAAATATATTACAAAATAAAAAACATATTGTGACGTGTGCAGTTTCGTTTTTAACCAAATCCATTTTGCCTCAAAACAGCAACCCTCAAAAAGGAAAATGCTTTTACATCAGTGCCCACAGGCCTTTCAGTCATACTTGCCAACCCTCCCGATTTTCGCGGGAGACTCCCGATTTCATTGCCCTCTCCCAGTTTCCTCCCGGGGTCATATTTCTCCCGCATTTCTCCCGATTTCTGACAAAATCAGATTTACTCAGGACTGTTTCCACTCGGACTTTAATACAGCTACACCATTGTTTGGTTTCCATGGTA